CTTGTACTACTTCTACTACTACTACTACTACTACTACTACTACTACTAGTCGACGGGGCGACGGGGCCTCAATTCGGGGTGGGCGCTAGGGGTTTAGCGAGTTTAAGTAGGAGCCTCTGAAAGGCTTCATCGGAGTTAACTTTCTTTCAACCAAACCCTAAACCCTAAAAGCATTCAACTTATGTTCCTTCATAGTTGGTGTGCCTGAGCCTACCATAGGCAGCTTTCAATTCTAAACCTTAAACCCCTAAACCCTGTAAGCCCTGAACCCTAAACCCTAAACCCAACCATAATCCGATAAACCCTAAGCCCGACTGACTGCCTGTTCCCAGGCTGGACGTCTGAACTTCGATCGCCTCGGCACTGTTGTGTCGGGCTCCTAGAGAGATGCAGTTGGGGTTTAGGGTTTAGGATTTAGGGAGTTGGGTTGAGGAAGGTGACGTTTCTTACATTATGATCATCGGGCGGGTTCCTTCCCAAGTTTCCTTCAAGATTGCTCGAATTGAACACTCTTTGTCAGGTAAAGGGAGTAGTTACAGGAATCGGGGACCCCAAGGTGTTGATTCTGGAAAACCGGGTTTATGAAACCCAGAGCCCATATTGCCCGGTCCAGGGTCAGTGTTGAACTGTCTGCCATTGGGACTCAAGGTATGCAGCCTTTCTTGGGAACCACTGTATCATCGCATCATCAAACAATACCAAACTCATCCCAAACCTCATACTATGGGTTTGACGATTGACAGGGTTGGTTGGGTTCCTTCCGGCCCACAGCCACACTTAGACTCAGAGATTCCCATGCTCGAGGGCTCGCCCGGTAGGCAAGTGCTCCCGAACTCCCGGCAATGCTCAGTTGAGGGCCTTTCAGGGTTGGAGGTTTTGACTGCGCCAGCCATGGATCAGTGGTGGGGTGGCAAAGGCGGCCAGGGCCAGGGCTGGGGCACCGGCGGCTGGAAGGGTGCCGAGCCAAAGCACCAGCCTCGCCCCAAGGGGGGCCAGAGGCATCGCAGGGTTTAGGGTCTAGGGTTAGGGCAGTTTAGGGTTTGGGGTTTAGGACTGGCTTAGGTTTTTAGTCCTAGGTCAAGATTGTATGATTTTCTTCCCTGTACAGGGGCAGATCGACAACATCGACCCTGCGAGGTGGCATCATTCAAAGGCTGGACAGCGACTTGTTGCACACCAGGGGTGACATCCAACAGCTGCGTACAGAGAAAGAGCAGCTCACGGCGGAGAAGAACAGCCTCGTGGCAGAGAAGAACCAGCTTCGTGACGAGAAGGACGCAGCTCTGGCCAGGGCACAAGAGGCCGAGCAAAAGCTCGAGAAGATCCAGAAGGAGAAACAGGCTGGGCTTGGCAAATAACTCTAATCCCTAACCCCCTAAACCCTAAACCTTAAACTCCTAAGATTCAGGTTTCGGGGTGGTCGGTCCCTTTGCTGCAGGAAATGGTGGACAAGCACTCTCGCGAGACAGAGAAGGCCTCGAGCATGCTGACGGAGGTCAATGCTGCCTGGCAGAGGGACACCAAGCAGTGGGAGGATCGGCACAAAATCACAAAGCGCATGCTGGAGGCATCGTATTTTCCAAAATCAACACCATGCCCCCCTAATCCCCTAAACCTCAGAACCCAAAACCCTAAACCCTAAATCCCTAAACCCTCTAGGAGTCCGAAAAGTCCAACAAGAAGCTGAAGGAAAACCAGGAGGCGGAATACAATCTGCGGGAGAAGCTGCGAAAGGAGAGGGACAACTACAAGGCCATGAGCGAGCGGCTGGAAAAATCTCTGGCGACGGAGCAGAAGGACCACAAGATTGCGGTCTCCAAGTTGAAGGATGAAACCAGGGAAAACGGCAAGCTGAAGAAGCGCTTGAGTAAGCTAGAGTCGCAGGAGAATGCCTGAAGCCTTCAGACCACAAGGTAGTAATGTCATAAAAACATCCTCCTAAAGCAACATTGCCTTGAGGCTTCAGGTGTCATGACGTCTTATGACGAGTCTCACTCGCATCTTCCGCAGCGATGCAATGAGGGGTGGAAAGAGAGTGCATAAACCCTACTAAACCCTAAACCCTAAACCCTAAACCCTAAACACCAAACCCCTAAACCCCGAAACCCTATGCACTTCGAAGCCGACTTAAACTTAAGCCTTGGGGGTTGTCCTCATGTGATCCATGTCAACGTGCCTCTGCCCAGGCCCGGAGTGTATCTTCACTGCTGCTTTGTCGTTTGGGCCTCGGTTAGTCTTAGTGACCGAAGCCAAGTGACCGCAAACTCAGGTAATCCCTGGCCATCCATCCTGTCGTGAGCCTCAGAAATCAGTCGCTCGCAGGGGGCCACGGTCTAGGGTTGTTTAGGGTTTATAGGGGTTTAGGGTTTAGGGTTTAGGGTTTATTTGTTTCCGTTATTATTGTTCCTGCCAATTTAATCCGTTCTTGCGGGCTTCGCCGGTGCCCGCCCCCGGCGGGTATTCACTGACTACTCCTATTTCAGCCCAAGCCCGAAACTCGACACTCGAAACCTCACTAAGGGTAAGCTTTGGGTCAGCTGTTGAAAGCCAACCACGGAAGCCAGCGGGCACCTGGCTTTAAGACCCTTATTATAGACGAGCTTTGTCAACAATGGACAATAACCGCAAACCTTAAACCCTAACTGTCATCCCGGCCCGAAACCCTAAAACCCCAACCTTAAACCCTAAACCATAAAACCGCCACCTACACGCACCTCTAGACGGAATCCAGCAAAAGCCGAGCTTGGTTAATTACGCGCATACTAGGGTTTCTTGTCGGGCCCCATCTCAATCTAATGACTAAACCTTATGGGCCTATGAGTCGCAACTGTTAGGGTGTGTCCGAGTTCGATTTTGCAGCAACAGTGAAGCAGCCCATGGCCATGCTTTAGAAATCATAGTATCTACTTTCTCTCTGTATACATCTATATCTATATCCATATCTATATCTATGTCTATATCTATATATCTATATATATATATATATATGTATATGTTTATTTATTTCTTCTTTTATATTTATATTTTTTATATTTTCAGTTCGGAGGATAACACCTCCCAATAATTCCTCGCCGCAACTGCTGGCCCCTGAACCTGAACCCTAAATAGAGCCTTAAACAGCCCCCCCATAAGTCGAATTTTAAGTCTCGAGACCCAAAGATGAGGTCACGGGCGAGGACGCCGCACCTGGACATGATATTGATTGGGAGGCATATACTCCGAGGAAGTAAACCCTAATCTTAAACCCTAAGCCCAAAGGCCCTAAGGCTAACGGAACCTTATTAGGTTGGTTTCTCGGTGTCAGGGCAGCGGGCATTCTGTGAAATCGTAGCAGGCTTTAAGGGCTTGGGTCGGCATTTGTATCATGCAGGTTAACGGTGAGACAAACAGTACTTCCGAAGGATTCAATCTTGGCTGCAACTCTAGGCTTACTTTGAATGCTGCCTAAGTGGTGGGAGCTCCGAGGAGGTGGAGCGGGCGCTGAAGAAGGGTTTAGGGTTTAGGGTTTAAGGGTTTAGGGTTTAGAAGTGCCGCGTCGTTTAAACCCATGTCCATCGTTCAAAGCAATATTACCGGCAGGCGTGCAGGTGGTTCCTGTTTCAGGACTGTGTGTATGAGCAACCCGTGACTAAAGTTCCAACATGCTCCCGACGACAACCCAAAAAGAGCACATTGCTGCCACATAACCCAACCCCTAAGCCTTTTCGGGCCAAATTGTACCTTCACCTGACTAAGTTGCAAGACCCGAGCCTTAACCCAAAATCTTGCAACGGACTTGATGATCACTGCAGCTGAGTGTCAGGCGCTCGAGAAGCGGATAGGAGACAGGAGCGAAATTAGAGACGAGAGAGAGAGGATTTTTATTAGGTTTAGGGGTTAGGGGTTTAGAGGTATGGGTTAAAGGTAGAGGAAGCTTAGGGGTGGGTTTAGGTAAAGGTAGAGGGTTTAGGGGTAAGGGGTTAAGGTGGTTTTAGAGGGGTAGGGGGTAAGGGAAGTAAGGTTTTAGCCCTTAAGCTGGCTTTGCCACTTTGGGTCGGCGCTGTCCTTTTCAGCGGAGTGCCGAGGTCGGATTTCATTGCTTCCCTTCCTTGGCTGCTGGCCCTGGTCTTCAGAGCCTGGACAGCAAAGCTTCTTTGGCCTTCTGAAACTCTGTCTTGCTCAGCATGCCACCCTTGTGCCAGTCAACAAGATTCTTAAGTGAAACGCCACCAAGTGGATCAATGCTGGCCCCTGGTCGCACAGGCAGCAAGCTATCATTGGAGGGCAGTGAACTTCCATTACCAGATAGAGCTCTGTAGACATCGAGGCACGTAAGTTGCCCGTATGCAAGATGCACACGCAACGAGCCAGGCTTGTGGCGTGCAAATTTCATCGATAGAGGTAATGGAACACCCTGACCCATCATCGTCGTAATGGCTGTAGCCCGGCCGCTGTGGGACCGGATCTTCTCAAAATCATTGCCCGGATACTTTCGTGCAAACTTCTTGCTGAGGACGTTGATTGCCGACCAGACTGCGTGGTACGTGATCGGCAAGTTGTTCTTCTTCCTGTTGCTTTTGCGACTCGGAAATAATGCACCTTGGCTTGGAAGTGTGAACTTGTCTTCAAGTTCCCATGATCCATGCCGATTCTTATGTGTTCGCTTCCAGCTGATGCCATGATCTTGCAGATCACGTATGTAAGCTACCTTTTCGGCAGTAATCGGAATCGTACCAGGGCTTTTGCCCGAGCCCTTGCTTTTGCGGATACGGATCTGAGGTGGGTTCGCCTGCAGCTTGAGATCTGCCGCTGTGAGGTTGCAGGCCTCGCCACATCTGAGTGCGAATAACCCGGTGAACTGTATAAGGGCAGCCATCTGAGTTGTATGATACTCAAGCACGAACCTAACCCAGCGTTGCCAATCTCGTGCCGTGAGAGCAGGGGCTTGGCCCAACTCCCTCTTCTTATTCTTCCGTTTCGGCATGGCGCAAGATGATTTGAGGGTCAACGGTCGCTTAGCCTGCTGCTCGTGAAGCCGAATGTTTATTTCTGCACACCACAGAACCGGGTTTGCTGATGTTTTTGTCAGAGCCACACGACAACTGTGTGCGAAAACGACTCAAATGACGCTTGCTAAATTGCTGCTTAGCTCGCCGATACGACGAACCCAACATGCCTGTGCTCGCAACAGAACTGTGTAGGGCTGTCGAAACTTCAAGAAAATCCCGAGTTCTTGCAAAAGATGCTGAACGTCGCCAGGCTTGGTCATCTCTGCCGGCGCCTGGGCCTTGTGGTCCAACAGAGCATGTGAAATGCACCAGGCCTGCCGAGCGAGGCGACGGAAACTGTTTTGGCTTGGGGGTTCCCAGTTCTAATTTTCCAGTGTTTAGGGGTTGTGCTGCTAGGGTGTTTAGGGTTTAGGGTTTCCCCTCCCTGTTCTCTTAGGTTCTCGATCTCTCATTGTTAGCCGTGATTACGTTATCTGCTCTTACGGCCTCCGTCTCTGTACCCCTACTCTACCTGGCCTGTCTGTAGATTAGAGGGTCCACAATTCTATATATATATATATATATATTGATATGCACGCAACAGCCCCATCATCCCAAGGGCTTTCAAGCTCACTTCAACTGCGTCGCTTGACTGATTAAAGCCATTTGGGCTTCTCTGTCATGAGTGACAAAGAGCACGTGGAGCTGATTCTGTCGGATGGCAGCCTTTCCGAGTGTTATCTAGCACATGTTCGGGGATGCTCCAACAGCAAGGCCTGTGCTGCCTGCCACGCCATTCGGAAGCATGCAAAATGGCAGAGGCAATTATCAGTGATTCCGTGGCTGGCCCTTTGCCAGCACCGTGATGGTTCCATTGGGGTCGGCTGTGCTTTGTGTGCCCACTCTGGGGCAAGGACTGGCTTCGCTTCATTTGAGGCCACGGTCACTGACATGCAGCTGTCACATCTGCTGAGACACGAAGCTTCTCCCAGCCATTGCAAGGCAGTGAGATTAGCAGGTTTCCCTGCTAACGGACCACAAACTATCGATGCACCCTCAGAGGAGATTTTTCGGGAAGCTTTGAAACGACGGCTCGATGGACTCGCGTGTCAGGCGGGGTTGCCAGATTTGGGAATTGGCCCGGATAAGATGCGGAAGCTGTCATTCTGCTTGGCCGAAGCGAAGCGAATGTTGCTCAGGGCATGGCTGAAAGACGAAGCTGTTTCCATCTCCTTGCAGCAAGACGAACGACACCAGCGATTGTTGGTAAGATTCACAGCAGCGTCAGCTACTTTGGAACGGAGATCTGGGGTGTTAGGACTTGCGAAAAACTTTGGGAGCTGTGCCGGTGCAGTGAGTGCAGCTACAGAGAAAGTGATTCGGCAATTCTGCACCCTGGGTTGCGAAGCCCCGGGTCTGAATCGCTCCGGTCTTGAGGTCGATGAGGGTCTTCTGGAGTCGCTGCGATCCAAGATCGAGGTCATTGTAGCCGATAATGCCAGCGACGAACAGAAAGCATCAGGTCTCTTGCGGAAGGATTTCTGTCCCAATATTCGCCTCACCCTTCGTGATTGCGCACATGCCTCCAGAAGGACTGGGCTTGTGGTGTTGAGTACTCTAATGCTCATGAGATTTGCTGCTCGCGCAGAGATTATTGAGCGGTTTTTTATCGTTTGTGTCTTACCAAATCCTGGGCCCAAGTATTGTGTGGTTCAATTCGTTAGTCTAATAGAAAAGCAGGATCATCAAGCGTCCATTTGATGCAGAGCCAACTTTGAAAGACATCATGCAGTGTGTTTTCTTCGGCAAGCACAGCATAGTCGCCGCCATCGAGAACAGCCTCCTTTTCAAAAATAGGTTCGAGCATCATGTCAGCCGATCAACCAGCGAGGTGAAGTCGGTGGTTCGTTCATTGTCTTTGGCGAAACA